GTGTCTCTCATGAGAACTTGATAGTAGCTATCCCTTAATTCAACGCGGAAAAGATAGTTAACTTTCCCATGGAGTTCAACAAGAAATCTTCTCCTCGGGATCGGCATTTGCGCCGGAATGGTGGTCGTGTTCAGCTTGTTATAGGCATGAACCGCGCACCATCCACCTGTTGCTTTAAGCACACAGAAGGTCGGGATGCAGTGAGGCGACTTGCTCTCACGTACGTCTCCCGACTTAGCTCGCTTGTCGAAGAACTCATCGATTTAATCGACTTGTTCCTTCGGCAACGGCCATTGCCTGGTCACACAATACTTGGTGCCAGGTTACAGGTTCCAGGTCAATCTTGTGCCTGATTCTCCTATCGGCCGGTAGGCGGCTCGGCACTTCTGTTGGAAACACATCACGGTGTTATTACATAACATCATAAAACGGGCTTTCCTTCAAGGCATCCCAGCCTTGAGAAGCAAATTGCTTCTTCTTGTCGGTTTTCAAGACGCTCTCGTCCATTGTAGACGACGAGCAACAGTCCACCACGTTCTATTCTGGAACTGGTAGGACTATCGCGTGGATCTTTCCTTCCTTTAGTTCGGACAGGAAAATATCCCACGTCATCTCCGAGAGATTTACTATCTCCTCGGCAGATGCCAAGACAAGTTGGAGCACCTCAAGTGAGGATGCCTCCGGCATTTTGTCTTCGACGGCCTCGAACAACTCGTTCGTAGGTCCGTCCTCTTGGACCGAGACTGATCCAAGGGTCACTCGTTTCGACGTGCCCTTCATCGTCTTAATACGTCTGGTGCTCGATGCTCGAGTCACCACGACCTTTGACCTGGAAGAAGGTGTCGTTGCTGTTATATCCAACGCACTCCTTCCAACCGCACCATACTCATGACTCTATGCCGGTTCTTGTGGCGCTTGACTTCCATGTCGGCCCACTATCAACTTCCACAGGCTCTCGGCTCTGTGCAGGACTATTGGACGCATGACTACCTGTCATCGCCCCATTCACTACACCAGTCTTTTCGACCTGGGTCGGAATATGTGTCACCTGGCTTTCCGCCAGTGCACTTCCAACTACACCACTCCTTTCGAGCTAGGTAGTTCCTGGTGCCGATTGACACACCGTCATCGCACCCTCGACTGTATTGGACACAGCATCAGCCACATAAGCCTCTCGCAGGAGCACATCTTTCCAGTGTCTTGCGTAGAGTTAGCGACTGTGCGTGTACGCCAGTCAATTCATGGCTGCTATTTAGCCAACCAAGCACGGGTGGGAGGGGGTGAGGCCTTCCGACTTTTCATACCTTGGACTTCTATCTCTCTAAGAAAAGTAAGTGTCTGAGAAGGAGAGGGAGTTTAAAACTATATGATTTAACGAGCGGGCCGTGCCGTAAACCAAAGAACGCGTGTTCTCGTTTGCTATCTTGGCAAAGAGACTAATGAGCTCTCCGGCTTTTTTTTCAAAGCCGGGGGTTTCAATAAAAAGTTTTGGGGAGCCCAAATAATGAGGAGGGGGTCCCCTTTTGGTAAACCCTTGTATGGAGGGCTAAGGACCAAAAGGGTTGAGGTCCGACCTTCTGGTACCTCAGCGGCTATGCTAACCATTTGTTCAATCACTCTGAGCTTAGGAATAGCTTCAGAGTCCAGAACAGAGGGGCACCCCGACCATACTGCGCACCTGCATTTCTTGACTTATCGGGGGTCGAATTTAAACCCGTGCAACGTGCACGGTTTTTCGAACCACCCTTGTGGGTGGGGAGACTTTTCGCTGGAAGCCTTGGCCCCAGCAGCAAGTTTGGCATTGCAGCGAGCCATCATATAGCCTCACTTGCCGCACCTGCAGCAGATAACATCTGCATTACCTAACTCCATAGGAGTGACATCCGACTTCTCGGACGACGGCCTGTGATAGGCTGTCGCCGAGGCACTGTTGTAGGATTTCTCCTTAACCATGGCAATGTCAATTGCCTCTTCCATCGTCTTTGGCACTTTTTTAAAAAGGGCCTGACGCGATGGGCTGCGCCGTAGTCCATTCATGAACGTGGCCACCTTGATACGTTTCGGTATCGGCTCCTCATTAATGGACGCCGACAGCGAACGCATCTCCTGCACATACTCTTGCAGAGAACTTTCGCTTGTCGTGCTCCAAAGAAGCGCGCCTGAAATTATACTTCATTTATAGGCGGCTGATACATGGCGCAAATCTTTGCCTTAAAGATCTTTTATGATGGAAACGCATCGTAGTTTGTCATAAGCGCAGAATAAGCCCACTCTGACGCTTTGCCACGCAAATTTGACATGGCATACGACACCATCCTGGTGTCGTCTTCGATGAGCTTCACCATACCGCATTGCTCCACGGCTAAAAGCCAGTGGACAATCGTATGTGGGCAGTCCCATTAAACTTCGTAGCGTCCATTCGAATGGTCCTTGGCTGATTAGACCGGGACGAGAGCGTCTTAACAGTTCTGTTGAGCGCCTCATTCCGAGCTTGCTCACGCAAAAGCTCATCTTTAGCCTTACTGATGGAGTTAGCCATGGCTTAGCTGTTTGCTCGGACACTATTCTACGCTGTCCGAGCCAACCGCCTCGAATTACTCTAACTGAGCAACATGTTGCTCATGAGAACAATTCAAGAGGTTGGTCAGGGCTATTTTACAAAGTCCCTGCGCCAAGGGCTCATCCACCTCCCTATAATGTTGGGAGAGATGATAAAAATTCCTTCCAATCCATACTGAGAATCCGTACTCACGCACGCTCAAAAAGACGGTTCGTGGGAAACACTACCATTGTTACAAAGTGTAGACGGGCATTTCTAAGAGCTGCCACGTGTTACTAGAACACGCCCTCAAGTAGCGTGTGGAAGAAATTGAACCGTCTTACCTCCGCGTGCGGTGGTGGTGTTGGTCGGCGCTTAAAGCGGTGTAACAACCGTTGCCGATCGCTTCAAGCGAACTGCTCAACGAACTTAAGACAACACCAATTGTGTCGCACAAGTTGTTGCCAGTCTTTCTGCGCGCAGTGAGTTTAATGTAGTAAATTCAAGACTGACATATATTTGGCAAAAACTTAATAAATGTAAATTTAACAACTGATTGGTGTAGTATGCAAAAATTGGATACGCGTCTCTTTAAAAGCGTATCTCTACGTGCGAGCTTAAAAATATTTAAGCTCGCTAATGACGTCCGCATGTGACGCCATCATGACGCTTAGTCCCAACTGGGCGTCATCCCCTTCAATGTGAATCCATTAAGGGATTTTACATTCACGAAGGTGGGTCACACTGATGTGCCTCACCCAAGTGGGAGGTACGTACCCTTTAGACCTATCATATACCTAACGTACTTGTGTAACCATTGACTCGTTACAAAATTATAGGTAAAAAGGTTCGATGCTCTACCTTGATGTGGGTATCTATCATACGCAATCCTACGGGCTTTTGTAACCTCCTTACACTTTTCTGCCAAATGCTTTAGCAAATTCTTCGATCGAGCCGCCTTCTAAATTTCTGCGTAAATTTACACTGTGCATCGTATCGATTAATCTTGCCAGCTTTCATGGACGCGCGCAAAAAGAATTCCAATTCTCATTTAAAGAAGTACCCCCTTTTTACGGACTCGGTAATTTGGCTAGACATCTTGCCATTGTACTTACGGACATGTCGGCAGAGGCAACGGCAACGGCAACGGCATCAGGAGTGGTGTCCCCATCGCTCATGTTAGCTGGCGTCTGGGAAATATATGCTTTTTCTGTATTTGATTGTGGGAGTGCAGGTAAAGGGGTAATTTATAAGGGCCTCCCAAAAAGCATAATAAGGGTAGGCCATGCCAGGCTGGCATAGCCCCAGGCTATAACTCCTAGCCGACACTAATTCCCAATTCGCGCCTTCGAGCAACAACGGCCAAGAGACGAAGACCTCCGAAGAGCCGGTCAACCGGCCCCCTCAGACCAGGGCGGGAAGTCCCTCCAACGGGAGGCCCAGGATAAGAGGGGGGAGGTTTTCCCTCTGCTGCGTGCGCTATGGGGGGCAAGCGCAGCGTTGCGAACCGTAAGGGGAGCACCAACCCTGTCACCCCTGGGGGAGAGGATCGACGACCGCGGTTATCATTCCCTTCTTCCCCGATAGTTCCTGCTATTCTACGTCAGCCTTCAAGCCGCCGATTCGATCGCCAAGCGCAAATCTCGGTCCCACGAAGTGAACTTGCCAAGAACGTGAATTGATCGGCCCCGTCCAGGTGCATCAGCGGTCGATCGGGACTGATCGGTGTGGTGCCCGGCGCTTGTTGCGATCATTGAGCCTCTGTTTACACCTCGGGCTGGATACCCGATTCCACGTGCCCTTTTCGGAGTGTCCCCCGTGACGCCCGACGTCTCGAGCCAGCAGATTGAGCCAGCGAGGCGAAGAATGACGGAGTCCTGGTAGAAGCACTCCAGACATCTTACCAATCCTTAATGCTTGAAATAGACGGTCTGTTCTTCTCAACTCCTAGCCGACAGCCTAGAGGCTTTGCCGGGTACCATAATTGGATGTGATAAAAAGTATCTATTGATAACTAGGTCTAGATTTGGTATTTGTCGACAAAAAACAGGCTGCAGTAAAAAACCGCATGATGATGATGCGATAAGCATATGCAATATGTTATTGCTTTCATGTTCCATAAGGCAACCAAGTGCGACGACGGGCAGTGACAGAGAACCTCGGCATAGTGGCGAACCGTCCCCTGTACCTTGGATGAAAGGCTCTTTTACTTACAGGTAAAGGTTTTTAGGAGGCCATCGCAAAGCCCTAAACATAAAAAATATGCAAAGTGTGGGATTTGATGTGGCTAGGTTTTGCAGCATAGCACCGTTTTTTGCTTCACTCACTATCTCATTCTGCAGCCACTGACTTTTTTTTTGTTCCGTGTTCACCATAACAGGTTCATTATTAATTGTCTACCGCTATCACTTCATGATGGATCAGTGCACAAATCTCTCGACAATATTAAATTCGTGACGCCATGCCGCTTCTTGGAATTCTTTCATTCCTTTTTCTGACTTTTCAGGGTCCCGTGCAGGTCTTGCAAGCAGCAATCGCTTGTACCAGCACGCGGATTGCGCATGGGGCGAGACGTGCGTTGCGGGTGATTCTGACACTGCTGCCCAAGCGTGTGTACCTTCCACAGTATGTGGTGGTTCGTCGATGGGCAATTGTCCGTCGGATGATAGTGGAAGACTCGTTTGTCTATGGAGACCGTATAGTGACTGTAGTGAAGGTTGTGCAGTTTTACAAGGGAACAAAGGCATCTATAAATGCGTGTCCCTTTCGCGATGCGATGCGTACTACGGAGGTACTTCATGCAGTGGTAAGTCATATTCTGGGGTTGTATGATGTTGAGTGGCTGAGAGATTGACTATCAGGGTTATGTGCCAAGGTGAATGCAGTGTGAGTGGAGTGCGATGCAATGGTCAGGGATCGTGTAATATGGTGTCGTTAAGCCCTGGCAAAACGCCCAATTTTAGCTACACTTGTGAAAATGGCTACAGTGGAAACAAGTGCGAGATTGCACTACACGGTCAACGAAAGCCACCCCCACGAAATATTCGTCCATTGGCAACGGTGACTCGGCTTGGAAAAATACTTGATGACGACTCTGGTGTGGAGGACGTCACTGCACCACAGCTCACCTAGAGGCGGATCTACGGACACCCCAGACGAAGGGTTTACGAAGACGCAGAAGATTTCATCTACTTATACTTCAGACGATCCGCCTTCCGACAACGTACATAACTCTGATGCTTTAAGATCCTTTACTTCGGGCTCTTCGAAAGTGGCCGACAGCGGGTCGACGAACAAAAAGTGGCATCCATACAGGCTGGCTTATCTTTATCCTTGTGATCGCAGTGGTTATCATGCTCGGCACGGTTCTGTGGGTAGTATATATTATACGAAAAAGGAAGCAGCAGCAGGAGGCGGAGGAATACGCCAATGCGCTTGCTTCGGCTGAAGGAGTTGGTGCAGTGGGTCTGCGAGACCTTGCCGCTGGACACACAGGCCATACTCCAAGAGCACACATAGTTTCCTTAGTGTGACGATTCTAAGGAACATATAGCTTGACATCGGCAAGTGAAGCGCTTTGCTATGGTACTGCGAGCTCCCTGACGTTATGTTGGGTCAGCTCAAGAAATATAGAGCCAAATTTATTCTGATTGTAGTATTAGTAGTGCTGCGTCCACCTCTTTTCACAATCAGGGGTCGCTCTTCTTCAATATAATTTCCGTTCACAATGTCTCCGATTGACTACCTAGGCTTGGCTACTCAGCACATGCATGAAACGATCGAGTTGGCGCAGTATAGATCGTTTTTTAGCCCAAATGCTGAATAATGCAACAATGTGACGATGAAAATGCATGAACATCTCAGCCGCTAAAGACAAGTAGATGTTGCGTCGTGTAAACTTGACAAGCGTGACGACTAGCTGCACCTCAAGTCGGTATCTGTTAAATCTGATAGTGTGTCGCAAAAACGTAAATGGATGTGGGTGCGAATCATGCCGACTGGTTTGTCCATCGCGACGTCTAAATGTCCGCAACGGTGTTTGCGTTGCTTGTGGCTGTTAAGCCAAATGGATCCAAGAAAGTCTGACGAGACAGATCGTCAGTGCTAGTATAGAGAGTGACAAATATAGCGGCCTGAGTCTTTCGATTCCAAGCTGGCGATTGAGAGGGCGATTCGATGGCGTAAATATATACAAACCTCACTTTCGACGCAGTAAAATAAAGTGCTACGTCCAATTGAGGTTTCCATTCGCGTCTGTTCTGTAAAAATATCGCTTCGAAACACTGGCTTGTCGCTCTTCTTTGCACTTGCTATTTGTAAGTAAAACACTAAAATATTTCGCTCTCCCGACTTCAGTATCGTTCGTGGGATACAAATTCCAAGTAATTTTATTAAAACGACCGATTGATATGCGAGTCGTGATGGCGATGCTCTTGCTGGTCCTACAGCCGAGAGCGAAGGCCATGCTCTTGGAATAAGTTGAAGAACAGTGGAAGTTGCTGGCAGTTGGCAGTGGATGGCAAGGCATGTGAATGGCAGTTGGTGTGCTTCATGGTTGAAGGTATGAGAGGGAGTCGTGCTGACACAGAGTCCCCAGGTTGTACTTGCCAACTGGCATAGGCCACGAAAGAGATGTATGTTAGGACAGTAGGGCTTGTGTTGTATGGTAAAAATGAACAACAGTTCCGAAATTGCATCGTGTGACTCAAGTGCATATT